TCTAAAAAAAATCTCAAGAGCTATAATCTCGAGAGATCCGTCTGCAAGAAGCCATGAAGGAAAAGCAGGCGCTTCACATGTTGAGAGAGGAGGAGAAATGCAATGGAGTGAATAATTTAATTTCTCTGTGGAAACTTTTAGATAAAAAAGATACTCAATGACCCATTTAGAATCTTTTTTTTTATTTTTTTTTTAAGGAATTTAAGGAAATTCAAAATGAATTAAGTTTTAGGACACGTCTGGTTTTTAAAACCCTTTAAAAGTTTGTTCATTCATGCAAATCAAATGAAATGTTCAACATATTGCCAACCAAAGATGTGGGAAGTTTGGGTGCGACGGGCGCTGCAGCACCCCCCGAGTGTCATGATCCCGGGTGTTTGTTTGTTGTTTTCTTTAACGTTTGTGACTGTGTTCATGTTTGACCATCGTTCCTTCGTTCTTTGAGGTTCATTGCTTTTCACTTTGGTTTCTCAGGGGTTCTGTGGCCTTTTTAAAAATTATTACACCTTTATTTATACAGGTTGGTTCCCATTGAGCCTCGAAGACGCGTTTACAAGAGAGGCCTGTTACATACAACATACAGGCAGATGAGAAAATGGGAACACTGCGGTGGAGGAAGCCAAGAAAAAAAAAAAAAAGTCATGTCTCACACCATTCTGGCTGGGAAACAGTATAAAGATGCAAAAAAAATTTTTTTTTTAAAGACCTCGCAGCATAAAGCTGCAACAAACAATGACATCACAATACAGTAATGGATGGAGGTCGACAAAGGCAGCAAGTTACCCAGAACGTTCTGATAAGATGGTACAGAGTCTATCAGCACCAGGGCCCCCCCCCCCCAGTCATTTTTACCTTCAGGTAACCATTCTCACCTGTCCCTCACGTGTTCATTATCAGTATCAGCTGTTTTGATTTTTAATCATACTCTTATTTTGCGCTCATCGTTTTGCAAATCAAGCTGCACAATGGATGATAAATTGTGCAAATGTTTTTAGTGTCAAACTGTAAGAACTTTGAACCAACTTTTATGTTTTATTTTAAAAAGATAATCTGTGCCAGAATAATAAAATCCAGTTTATTAATCTGAGCTTTGACAGCAATAACCTGACTTCAGGTTATTAGCCAGGCATGACTTAATATATTTATTTATTTAATTAGTTTGTACTTTTCATGAATGTCCATTAGTCATCCCTGCGTTTTCACACTATGACATCTGTCTTTCTGCTGTCGTTGATTTTCAGTCATCTGAGACAACGGTCCCCAAAGTTGGTGTCAGGACCCCACCTGTGGGTCACACAACAGCAGACTGGAGGTCCTGAGATTATCTCTGCGAAACGTTTCAGCACAAAAAAAGAAACTGTCCAGATGACCTGACTGAAAAATGTTGGATCTCTGTGAATACTTCTTTTTTGGAAGTAGTTCCTGTTTGCACATTTTCACAAAAAATGTGTTAAAAGTATAATAAAAGTCATAAAAGGGGAAGAAAATGAAACATATGAGTTTAGTCTATTGGTGTTGTTATGTCTTTAATTTATATTGTTTCACATTTTTTTGAATATTTTTGTAGTTTAAGTTTGGGGTTAGTTGTTGACATTGTTGCATTGAGGGTCAGAAGCTCAAAAGTTTAGGACCAGCTCATCTGGAACCTTGTTATCCTGTTATTTTAATTTTTTAAGACAACTTGTTTTTGATATTTTTCTTCTTACTCGGCGAGCTTTCTCAGCTCAAACTCAAAGTCCAAGCTTTCTAACGGGAGCGAGTAGCTCTGCAGCTCCTGCACTGGATTTTGGATGAAAAGATTTTTAGACAAGTGAGAAGGAAGACGAACGTATCAAACAGAGGACGTTTCTAGAAATCAGAATGAATCTTTGCTTGGGATCAAAACATCTCCCACGTGGAGGTTAACAAAAGGTCCTTATGATCCTCAGGAGGGAGTGGATGACACTGATTTGCATGTGAGTTTAGTTCATATAAAAGGGAACATCTAAGTGCAGTAATGTGTAATTCTACACTTTTCAGGTTGATCTGAAAATGCTCTTTTATTGATTTTTTTTGTAAAAGCTGTGAAGCTCTAAGACCTTCGTTTTAGACCTGTACAATAAAAGTGTTTTAAAGAGGCTTTACAGTCTAAGTGAGATTGTTTTAAAACAGGTTAGTTATCTTCACTCATATTCAGATTGAACAGAAAACACAAAAAGACAACATGTTTTCTTTATTATAATAAATCTGTGGAAAACCTTCAACCCTCCAGCTGCTCTCTACTGCCCCCTGGTGTTGGACCTATGTAAATGCCCAAATGGTGTAGAAACTACATTATTATCCTTCCAAACTAAAGAGGACTGCAGTTAAAAGACCAGAAATTAAAAACTACATGTTTGTTGTTCCTTTTTAAAGCAGATTTATTTTTATTATTAAACTAAACAATATAGTGTACACTGCATATAAACTTTATGTTAAAGGTATGAGCAGCAGTTTAACACTTTGAGACACAGTTAGTTCAGAGATCCACCCGGTGGATGCAGCGCCTCATCAGAGCTCCTCGTGTATCAGGAGTTTGGCTTTCTTCATGTTTTCAGCCACTGTCGAAAAAGAGAAGACAAAAACAACAACAACACAGTGTTTTAATATTTTTTCTGACATGGAACAGCTCATGCTGCAGGAGTCTGCGATGAAGGATCTGACTACAGATCTTTGCTGCAGAGAAGCTGCCACCTAGTTCAGGTCACCGTCTTCAAGTTTCAAACTGTTATTAATGTCTTCACTTTTATGCTTTTTAAAATCCAAAGCAGCTGAAGATAAATTTTACCTGGTTTTTAAATAAAGTTAAGAAAAATAACACAGGAAGTATGTTTTGCACATGAAAAACAAGGGCTTAAAACATCCATCCATCCATTATCTTTTACACACGTCTTCCATTTTGGGTCACGGGGGTCACCAGTGCCCATATCCAGCAATCACTGTGCGAGGGGCGGGGTACACCCTGGACAAGTGTCCAGTCCATCACAGGGACACATAGAGACAAACAAGACAAACAACCATTCACTCTCTCGCTCACACCTAGGGACAATTTAGATTTACCAATCAGCCTAACATGCATGTTTTTGGTCTGTGGGAGGAAACCGGAGTACCCGGAGAAAACCCACGCATGCACAGAGAGAACATGCAAACTCCACCCAGAAAGACCCCCGGACCAGGATTTGAACCAGGGACCTGCTCGCTGAGCCGCAGCAGCTCTACCAGTTGCTCCACCGTGCTGCTCAGGTTTAAAACAAAAACACAAATTTCACATATTAAAAAAAACTTTTTTTTTTTAGATTTTATTTTATTTTTTAATTAATTTACACGTGCTGTGATGAAACGCATAATATGATTTTAGGAACACTTTTAACATATTTAAGTGATCATGTGTGGTAAAATGATTTCTACATATAAACAACATGGTATATTGAACATATCAAATGTGCTTGGATCATTTCCACCTTAAGAACAAAAGAATGATGTATTGATTACACACTAAAGGAAAGCTACGTATATTTGTAAGTGTCATTTGAAAACATAAATGTGGGATAAAATGTACGGCAGAGTTTTAGGGCCATGCTAAGAAAAAAAATTACATTACGAGAAAAAATTCATAAGATTACGAGATTGAAGTCGTAGTATTACGAGAATAAAGTTGTATGAGAATTAAGTCATAATATCACTGCTACTATTGCTATTGTACTCCTGATGTCGGAGACACCGTGCTCGCCGAAGTTCAACTCCCAGTGGATCCAAAATCTTGATGACCATCCTCACTGTCTGCTGAGAAGCAACAGAACCTCTCTGAATGGTACGCGGATGTAACCACCTACAGCCGTGCAGTCGACCACTGCCAGAAAGCTCCTCTTCCACAAGAGAAACATCTTCCAAATCCGTGTGGTTCTTTCTTCGAAACAGACATAGTCGTCTGCATAATTGTTTCAAAGTCCTGATACTGATAATAATCTGATGCTGATGTGCTAACAGATTAAGTATTTCCTTATGTTTTAAATCAGTACCAAAGTATAACTTAACAAGATGCTCAACATGCATCATTTTACTGCAGTTGTAAGACTGCTTTTTCGTGTCGAAGTTCTGATATCACAACTTTATTCTGATAATATTATTACTTTATTCTCGCATTGTTTCTACTTTATTCTCGTAATACTACAACTTTAATCTCGTAATATTTTGACCTATTTGCATAATAGTTTGACTTTATTTTCATAATATTACGACTTTATTCTTGTATGACTTTATTCTCAAAATATTTTGACTTTATTCCAGTAGTATTTTGACTTTATTCTCGTATGACTTTATTCTTGAAAGATTTCAACTTTATTCTCGTACAACTTTATTCTTGCAATATTTTGACTTTATTCTCGTACAACTTTATTCTTGTAATATTTTGACTTTATTATCATAATGTTTTGACTTTATTCTCATAATATTTTGCCTTTATTCTGATAATTTTTTATTTTATTCTCGTAATATTTCAACTTCATTCTTGTACGAC